GCCATCTTGTTTGAGTACAGATGCCTTTTAAAAGCAGATATCATAACATCTCTTTGTTATACCTTTTGAGAGAAATCTAATATGTTGTCTCTTTGTTCTGTAAAATAACTTTTAAAATAGCTGTTTCTATTACTGTGAATTCAGCTTAGCCAACTGTGGGGGTTTTACCCCCACAAAAATCCAATCTCCAAGCTTCCCCCACCTTCCCACAATTTACCTCAACACCGAAGAGAAATTTTCAGGCAGGCACACCTCTGTATGGGGGAAGGGAAAATATATACATTTATTCCTATACAAATAAATTCTGTACAAACTAAAAGCAACTATATATATACAATATTAACACACTTCTATCATCCCTCCGAGCCCCTCCCACAATCAGTTCAGGAGAAGCTCTCAGGCTGATAGGTAAACAGTCTTTCTCTCGTTGGGGTATCAGGGAGAAGGATTTCTCTGATCACCCCCCACCAACCTCCAGCTCTTTGCTGAAGTCTTTTCTTCCTCACGAAGTCCAAGAAGATAGCTCTGTCCTTCCTCCTTGGTTCGTGGAGGTTTCCTCCCAGGGTAAGATGCTGTTCTGAGTCTTTACCTGGAACTCGCTTGCTGCTAGTTGGCTCTCTCACTCTTCTCTAGCTGCTGCAGCTCTCAATTTCGGCAGTCTACGTCCAAAAGCCGATGCAGAGCACCTCTGAGCCTGCTTGGCCTGTCTCCAATTTCACCTGGAGTTTTTTCTTCTCCTGGCACCAAGCTTTTGTTTCAGCCCATCTCCTTGGCTCAGCTTAAAAGACTGAACCTTAAAATCCACCCCCCACCTACAGTGGGGGGAAAAAAACCCTAGCTAGCTACAGGCAGTTCGGTCCAGTTACGAGCTGTCCCGAGCTCTACAGTCTGTCTGGGGGGGGGAAGAGGGCTTGGTTGAAGGCCTGCCTCTCTCCCTCTTACCTCAGCTGTTGTGAGTCTCTTCCCTCACAACACACACTCACTCCTACATGCTGCCTTCAGCCCTAGCTTGGCCAGAGCTGTGGGACCCAGGGCCTCTCTTCCCAGGGGGGTAAGGGGGCCCTGCCACCCCTAGGCCCTCTCACACACACACTCAGACACAACAGCAGACTGACTGCCAACTCTGCCAACTCACTTCGAGCAAGCTGTGTATATCTAATTTTCACAGGAGCGAACAAAACCAGCGCTGATTGGTTCCTGAGGGAAGACTGTCCTGGGACCAATCAGCTTTAACTCAGGGCCCCCACGAACCTGAGATAGGGGGGAAGGGCAGCTGAAACCATGACACCAGCAGAGGGAGATAAGACATAAGTCAATTAGAAACTTGGTCAAACTTGTTCCCTTTTGTGTGGGGCCTTTCAGAGGTGTGGTGAGTTGACCTTGGCTGGACGTCAGGTGCCCGCTCAGCCACTCTATCACTCTCCTTCCCAGCGGGACAGGGGAGAGAGTAAGGTGGAAATAAACAACTCATGGGTTGGGATAAGGTAGTTTATTTAAAGCAAAAAGTGAAGTGAAGCTTGCGTGCGCAGAAGCGAAAGATAGCAGGGTTTATTCTCTACTTCCCATGAGCAGCGATGGTCGGCCACTCCCAAGAAGCAGGGCTTCAGTACGCATGATGGTTTCTCAGCAGGCAACCATTGGAGACAATGAATGCCTGCCTCAGCTTTTATATCTGAGCTGACGTCATATGGTACGGAATATCCCTTTGGTCAGTTTGGGTCAGCTGGCCTACTTGGGTCCCCTCCCAGGATCTTGCCCTCAACTAAGGAAGGAATGTTACAGTGTTGGTGCTGCGCTCAGCAGTAGCCAAAACATCAGTGTGTTATCAACACCCTTCTACCTGCCAATGCAAAGCACAGCACTGTGAGGGCTACTGTGGGGAAATAAACTCCAGCTCAGCCAGACCCAATACAAGAGGAGACAAGATCCTTCATCTCACTGTCAATTTCTTAACAACCAGTACTGAATTCCATATTAATGCTTCCATGTTAGCAAGTTTTCGTATACGTTTTAAAAGACACTGTAATTTTTACATTTAATCCATTTAGCCTTTCAGGAAAGATGACTTAGCCACAAATTTGATTTTTTCTTTCTCTCTTTTTTTTTTTTAATAAGTACACATTTAAGATGTTCAATTTGATTGTATAAAAACACCGTCGTTCAGTTACACTGTCACTTATGGCTTTATTTGTCAGGATGCAGATTAGAGAGGACCTGTATTCTACTCAAGTATTTTGACATACTATAAATGTAATTGCTTCCGGTTTTTGCATACATCAGTGAGAGAGATTCAGTGTCATTAATTTTTAAAAATATTATAACTTAAATTCAAATGATAGCAGAAAAATATAACACTTGAGAATAATGTGTTTGCAATCACTGCCTTTCTGCTGACAACTTTTTTTAAAGTGTTTCCAAAGAGGATATTCTATTATTTTTTTTCCAGCATCTTCTGGTGCTTGACTGCAAGTGGACTTGACAAACTGTGGTGGGGGGAAACCGTTTTCTCCCCTAGAGTTATAAAATGGTAAACCCCCAGGGGGTGGTGACCCTTGGGGTTTGACCCAATCAGCGCTCCTGCAAAATATAAACATATCACACTTAGACCGGAAAAGAAAGTAGTTGTAGTTGTTGTTGGAGAAGTAGCCATGTTGTGAAAGCCACGAGGAGGAAGGGGCAGGAGTCCCACGGGGGCTATGGCCCCCAGCCCCCGGTTGGGGGGCTACAGGGACTTGGAACAGTGTAAGGTTGGGCTAAGTACCTGTGGCTATGAGTTGGGGGATGTTTTCTCCACTGTGAGCAGCAGAAGCGGCAGCAAGAACAGCACTGACCGAGAAACGGTGGCAGAGAACCAACAGATAAGAACCGAAGAAGCAGCAAACAAGTATGCAGCTACGCAGAGAGACACAGAGTTGTCTGAGAGAGCCGAGAGAGAGTCAGCAGCAGAGAGCAGGACTAAGCCACTACAGAGAGAGAGTTTTGGGGTAAGGACTCAACCAAAACTCCCCCAAACTCCTTTGAGACCCCTCCTAGGAGGAGGGAGATGGACTCTTGCTTGAGAAGAGTCTCAGAGTGCTACAGCACTGCTGAAAGAGGAGCTAAGAAGCTCAGCCGTCCTGAGAGCTCAGCCAGGACGGAATGTGGAGGAGGGCTTCTCCCCCCCCCCACTGCTGAGAAGCTAGCAACCAGCTTGAGTCACAACCAGAAGCTCTGCAAGGGGCTTGAAACCCCTGAAGATAAGGACCGTCACGAAGACCCCTGTACTTTGCGATATGACCGTGGTGACGTGCCCTTTGTCCTGGGAAACGCAGCCCACAGAAAAGAAGACCCTCATTTGGAGACAAAGGGCCGAGGGGCTTGGATATCCCCTCGTGTGTATTGGCAAAGATCCAGCTACAGCTGCTGCGTGGAAGAGAGAAAGAGACACTGCTGCCCTAGAAAGACTTGCTGCTCTGAGAGAGGAAAGGATCTTTTCCTTCTTCCCTCCTGGACTTTTATTTGGAAGGGAGAAGAGATTTGATCCATTGTAAATACTGTTTTGTCATGGTAGAGATAGTTGAGATTGTGTATGTAATGTACTGTAATATTTATTTGTACAGTGTATTGTAATATATCCCTTTCCCCCCATTTTGAGTCTCGTGTGGTGTCTGGAAAACCCATCTCACACTGGGTTGAGATGTGGGAGGGGGACTAGGACTCGGGAATTGGATTTTGGGGCTCTCAAAACATGACACAAACTCAATCTAAGAACGAAATTCCAGAAGAGAGAAGCTCTGAATCCCTTTAAGAATAGTCTTAATTGCTTTAAGAACTGGTTATTGTCCAAAATGTTTTGCAATTGGGTGTGGACTATTTCATTAGGATTGGTGACTTTTATTTATTATGCACATCATCCATAGAAACCTGAGTCTTAAAGTATATTAACCCAAAATGAAGTAAGATACTATCAACTTCCTTTGATTATTTTTTTTTCACTATGATGTGATTTGCAGTTTTCAGCATTTACTAAGAATTTTTCTTCTGCAATGTTTTTAGCATAAACTTTCAGCTTCTTTTATTTAAATGCCATTCAGTTGAATGTGGGAACCTCATGAGATTTAACAAGCCAAGAGCAAGGTCCTGCGCATGGGTCAGGGCAACTCCAGGTATCAATACAGGCTGGGGGATGAATTGATCGATAGCAGCCCTGCTGAGAAGGACTTGGGGGTGCTGGTGGATGAGAGGCTGGACATGAGCTGGCAATGTGGGCTTGCAGCTCAGAAACCAACCATGTCCTGGGCTTCATCAAAAGCAGCGTGGCCAGTAGGTCAAGGGAGGGGATTCTGCCCCTCTACTCCACTCTTGTGAGACCCCAACTAGAGTACTGCATCCAGCCCTGGAGTCCCCAGCACAGGAAGGAGCAAGTCCAGAGGAAGGCTGTGAAGATTGTCAGAGGGATGGAACACCTCTCCTTTGAGGAAAGGCTGAGAGAATTGGTATTGTTAAGCCTGGAGAAGAGATGGCTTCAGGTTGACCTAATTGCAGTACCTGAAGGGAGCTTATAAAAAGGAGGGAGAGGGACTTTTTATATGGGCAGATAATGACACGACAAGGGATAATGGCTTTAAACTGAAAGATGGTAGGTTTAGATTGGATACTAGGAAGAAATTCTTTACTGTGGAGGTGGTGAGGCCCTGGCAAAGGTTGCCCAGAGAAGCTGTGGATGCTCCATTCCTGGAAATGTTCAATGCCAGGTTGGATGGGACTTGGAGTAACCCAATCTAGTGGAAGGTGTCCCTGCCCGTGGCAGAGGGGTTGGAACTAGATGGTCTTTAAGGTCCCTTCCAACCCAAACCATTCTATGATTCTATGTTAACAAAAATTTTAAGAGTTTGAAAGGTAAATGGGGCAAGTGCAATGTTTCAAATGAATTGAAAATATTAAAGGAAGTACAAGAGCTGTATGACTGAAATAATTTGTGCATTTTATAATTGTTTTCTGTTTGTTTGTTTTTTTAATAGGATGTGTCCAGATACAGACTCAGTTGTAAGTAGACTTATTTCCAACACAAATGCATATGCTAACATTGTCAAGCACTACAATCTGATGTAACTTGACTTATATACAGGACAGAGGATTTAATATTTTGATAACATAGTTGAAGTGTTAATTTTGTTCAGAAAATAATCTTTAGCAGTATATACAAATATGCATCAGTAATACATTTATATTTCTTAACAATCTTAAGTTTTAAACAAGGCGTTTTTGCTGCAATTATTTGCTTCTTTGTTTTGCAAATTAATAGTTTAAATTGCTTGACTAATCAATTTCAAGTAAGAAAAAGGTTCAGAGGACCCAGCTTTGCATCATCATGTTCCTCTGCTTACAATTGTCTCTTTGGAGAACCCTTCAAATAATAATGGGATTCTGCGTGATTGTTGGCAATAGTGTGTAGGAATATGCATTTTTAAATATGGCTTTAATTGCAGTATCTCAGTGCACTTTATTCATGGTCTATTTTTCATTGCTCTCAGTTTGATCTCTGATATGTCTTAGATTTTTTTTAATTAAATTCAAATAAGTGACAGTTGCAAATGAAATTGATATGTTAATGCTTTTTTATTTTCTTAATTGAGCATTTTCTTTTTAATAAACATGCATGTTGTCTTGAATATTATATAACAAAGATTGCAGCTCCCTATAGCTATAGTAGGGGTGAGGCTCAAGCAGCCATGACTGAAGGGAAAACCAGAGGGTGAGATCCAGCTGTACAGGGGGGTTCCTGAGTTAAGGAACCCATGCAGCAGCCAGCCCTGAGACAGAAGTCCTCAGCAACCAATCAGGAGAGCAGGGGGCTGTGCCAGGAGCTACCGAGGGAGGTTTAAACGGCTCCAAGGAGTACGAGCAACTTGGAGCACAGTGAACAGGGGCATGGCATGTCAGTGAGGGCGTGGCAGGGCAGTTTGCACAGCAGTTTGTGCAGGCAGGGCTAACAGGAAGGGCTTCTCTCTGACCATCTGAGAGTAGCCAATAGAGGCAGCAAACAGACTCAGTAGCTGGTGAGGAAGAGCAAAGAGATCCTTTCATCCCCAGTCTTATTAGCATACTAGTTTAAGCTTCCTCAGTTATGGTGTTGACACTCTGTAAAGCTTAATCTCATGTAACTGTAGGAGTCACTGAACCAACCATGTCAGAGGCCTCCAGCCAGCCAGACCTGCTGATGGCAGATGCAGCTCTCCAGGCACAGGTTGCCAGAAGTGCCTGGTGCCTCTCCGTAAGACTGGGGCAGACAAAGTTATTTTGCAGAAGATATGCTGTGGTTGAAGACCTGTGTCACCAGGTGAAGTAGCTACAGGAAGAAGTGAACAGGCTACGTAGTATTCGAGTGAATGAACAAGATCAATTATTTTCAGAGACCCTACAGTCTCAAGACTCTTGGGAGTCTCGAACCTCCATTGTAGTGGAGAAGCAGATGGACTCAGAACCCTGCAGGGTTATTAGTCAAAGGACTGTTAGTCAAGGGTCTGTTAAAGATGAAGGCTGGAAGCAGGTCACTGCATGTACCAGGAGGAAGGTTCTTCCTCCTTCTCAGAATTTGACATGTAGGACTGGTACCTTCTACAAGATGTATGAGGCTCTGGAACTAGAAGGCCAGACAACTGATGAGGTGGGCGAAGGTCCTTCTGGGATAGTGGGGCCTCCTAAAACACCACCTATACACCACATCAAGACCTCCTCTGTTAACAGGATAGGAAGGGTAGTTGTAATAGGAGACTCCCTTCTAAGAGGAACAGAGGGCCTGATATGCAGACTGGACCCAACTCACAGGGAAGTCTGCTGTCTCCCAGGGGCTCCAGTAAGGGACATTACTGGAAAACTCTCCAGTCTAGTAAGGCCCTCTGATTACTATCTGCTATTGGTTGTTCAAACTGGCAGCGATTGTAAAGTAAGACACGTAGGTATCCACAGAAATGCCAAGGCAGTGGAAAGAATTCAAAAAGTTTATTTAGAAGGCCAGAACATGAGAAACTTGCAAATTACCTAACAGTGCAGTTTGTGCACAGGGCCTCAGGGAGAAAAAGGAAAGTTCCCACCCTCTCAGGGCCTTTTTATCCTCTCTGTTTCTCCCCCGCCTTCCCAAGGCCTCTGTACATGTCTGTTAGGGCTATCTCTCTCATCTCACATATCAGAGAGAGAGGCTGAGAACTTTTCTTCCTATGCGGGAGGAGGGAGAAAGCATTGAAACTGCCTTTGAGGAAGATACCATTTAGGCAGAAAGCCTTCCTAGCGAAAACAGAGTTCCTAGCTTTCCTGTTACAAATTCTTCCGAAAAGCAAACTACCCCTACAGTGATGAATTAACAAAGAAGTCCAAGGGCAATCAAAAGTGACTTCAGGGCCCTGGGGCGATTGGTAGAGGGATCAGGAGCACAGGTAGTGATTGCCTCGATTCTTCCAGTAACAAGGAATAATATTGATAGGAACAGGAAGATCCATCAGGTCAGTGCATGACTGAGGTTGGTGTCATTGGAAAAATTTGGGGTTCTTTGACCATGGGATGATCTATTCAACACCTGGTCTACTGATACATGACAAGATGCACCTTTCTCAGAGGGGAAAAAGAGTTCTAGCATAGGAGCTAGCAGGGCTCATTGACAGAGCTTTAAACTAGATTGGAAGGCGGAAAGGGACAAAACCAGGCTTGACAGTGATGAGCAATGGGATGGTGTGCCAGAACTTGAGGAAGCAAGCACTTATGGGATCCCTCAATCTGCCTCATGAGGTGTTGGCTACAAAGTACCACACATGAAATGTTTCTACACTAATGCACGCAGCATGAAGAACAAACAAGCTTTGGCCCAGTCCAAGAGATTTGACATCAGTGGCATAAGTGAAACCTGGTGGGATAACTCCTGTGACTGGAGTGCCCTGTTGGACGATTACAGGCTCTTTGGGAGGGATAGGCAGGGCAGAAGAGGCAGAGGGGTGGCACTGTATGTAATAGAAGGGTTAGAATGTATGGAGCTCACAGTTGGCAATGGCACAGTTGAGATCCTCTGGGTAAGAATCAAGGGGCAAACAAATAATGTAGACGTGATCATGGGAGTCTACTATATCCTCTTCTAGAAGGTCCCAGTTTAAATGTTTTTCATTTTTCTTGTCTTTAAGAATTCCATTCTGTTTAATTTTTCAGTCTTGATATAACGTGATTGTGATTTGGCTTCTTCCATTGCTTTTTGGATGCCAGATGGGACAGAGCAAGGAAACTGAGTCAAAATATTTAGTGAAACTCTAAAAATAAGTTTTAGGAATAGAATGCTCAGTCTTCATGCTTTTTGTATAGGCAGTTTTACTTCATTGTTATGTCTTTATGTTTTATGTCTTTTAAAAATTATTCCCCCCAGAACGTTTGTAAATGCAAATGCAGAGTTATAAACCCTACAGATTTTATGGGTATTTAAAATTATATAATACCTTAATCAATAATGTGTTGTATTGAATCTGAAAACATAGGGAAAACTGTGGAGTTTATTGTTATATTTTTAATTATGTGATAGAATGTCTGAGAATGTGAAACCTTCTTTGGAGGAAGTTCACCTTTCCAGTGACTTCTAGAGAGTTCAAGTGACATCCATATTGAGCTTATTTTTACTGCAAATACTACGAATAACATGTTTGGGTAGGGGGCTAGACCTTCATCCCAAATCATATTAAGAACTACTTCTTACAGAAACCCAAAATTTGCAAAGATCATCTCATCTTCCTCTGTGTTGAAGTTCAAAAATGACATGTGTATTTAAGAAGGTTGTGGGGTTTTCCTTTATTCAGCATGGTAGGCAAACCAGGTCTTGTCTGTATTGTGTGCCTGGTACTTAAAAGATGCACTGTGATCCACCACATAACATATAGTTCTGTCTTTGTAGGAGTGTGAAGAAGGGAGTAAGAATTAGTCAAGTAAATGTAAATGCCTTCATTAACATGAGATTTGTGATTATGTAATATCACCTGAAGGGCTGTGTGTTCTACTACTGATACAAAATGTAGATTAGTAAATAAAATTTTAATGTTTCAGAAAGCAGAACTGTCCAGCTGTTCAAAATATTAAAAACAATATTTTGAAATTACTACTTAACTTGTAAATAAGATTTTAAAGTACCATTTTGCTTGTATGTGACACAATTTGTTGTTGTCATTACAAAGGTACATTAAGTATCTCTTCTACCCTTTGCCATTTTTATAAGAAATTTATAACTAGAGAAATTTTGAAGACATCTGGGATTTTTTTGTAATAAACGTAGTGTAGCATCTCAGCTGTTCATATAGACTAACTATGCATGCAAAGTCATGAGTGGGATTTTATTTTTCTGTTTTGAACAGGAAAATTATCTATGTATCCAAGTATATCCCTTTATGTATAATATACACAAGTTTGGCTTTTTGCACATTTTTGAAATTTAGATGATCATATTAGAGACTTGTTTCTTTCTGTCCCAAAGCATTTTAATGAAACTAAGTGCTTAGCTAAGAATTCAAAATTATTTTATACATAATTATCTTCAGTTAAAATTTAATTGCCTGCAAGAACTGAAAAACTGAACTAGTTTGAAGTTCCCAGATGCTTATTAGCTTTAAAAATCCAGGACAGTGCTGGAGATATGTAAACAATAACTTTGGAATCTGATTTTAAGTTTCACCCACGCCTTTAAATTAATGTGCACATTCTTTGCTAAAGCAACAGTACAGGCTTGCTGTCTTTTCAAGGGAGAGAGGAAGTTGCAACCTGTATAACCTGGGATGCTTTTATTCACTTATTAAAGTACTGACTAGTATTTAGAAAAGATTATACTCCTGCACCATCAGAGCCTTAGCGGCTTAGCTAGAAGAATTAGAAGTAGAAATTGGGAAAATATTTGAGGCTAAGAGTATTGCAGGCTTATTTAGTGCTCATTTGTAAAGTTAAAATGCTTCTGTTGATTTCTGACCTTTTTGATAGAATTCCAGTAAAAGCAGATGCATTAAAACTTTCCAATTTTCATAGGCAATTTGGAGATTGTTTTGTTGCATTGTGTTCCTGAGATATCTGTCACACTACTTCTGAACTATAGAGCATAACTTGAGAAAACTGTAATAATTATTAATGCATAACAGTGACTGTAATGAGGTGTTATAATCAAATTTTAATTTGTCAATTATATAAAATTCAGACTGATGAAAGAACAGCATATATTTTAAGTTATTTCTCAATACCATCATTTTTGTTGGGTGTTTTTTAGAACATTCCTGATATAGATGATGAAGGATACAGCATTAAACCAGAAGCATCACAGGATATCCTTTTTGCTATTATTGTGCCAAGTTATTTCTTGTTATTACAATTATTTGGGGAGGGGAAGTAGCCATTAAAGTGTTAAGTCAAGGAAGATGAATGACATGCTTATGTTGTAATCTTGTAGTCTTATGTTCATAGTGCACAAATTTTTGTCTAGTTTAGATTTTATGTGTGTAAATGTTAAAGGTTAGATCAGATGTCTGAGGAACTTCAGGAGCATGTTTTTTTGTCTGACAGTAAAAAAAATCCAGAACAAAAACTTCAAGGTAACCATGCAGATTTTTCTCCATGGAAAGCTTTCAGAGAGGGAAAACCTCCATTCTTTATTGGACATGGGCAGGACACATAGTTATCAAAGATGAGGAAAAGACTGAGGTATTTAACACCTTCTTTACCTCAGTTTTCAACAGTAAGACAGGTTGTCCTGAGGACAGCTGGCTTCTGGAGCTTGTAGACAGACATAAGAAGCTGAATAGCCCCCCAGTTATCCAGGAGGAAACAGTTAGTGACCTGCTGAGCCACTTGGATCCTCACAGGTCTATGGGACCAGATGGGATCCATCCTAGGGTGATGAGGGAGCTGGTAGAAGAGCTCGCCAAGCCGCTCTCCATCATCTACCAACAGTCCTGGCTCACTGGAGAGGTCCCAGATGATTGGAAGTTGGCGAATGTCACGCCAATCCACAAAAAGGGCCAGAAGGAGGACCTGGGAAACTATAGGCCCGTCAACCTGACCTCAGTGCCCAGCAAGGTTATGGAGCAGATCATCCTAAGTGCAATTACACAGCACCTACAGGATGGACAAGGGATCAGACCCAGCCAACATGGGTTTTGGAAGGGCAGGTCCTGATCTCCTTTTGTGATCAGGTGACCCACCTGGTGGATGAGGGGAAGGCTGTGGATGTGGTCTATCTGGACTTCAGCAAAGCCTTTGACACCGTCTCCCACAGCATACTCCTGAAAAAGCTGGCAGTCCACGGCTTGGACAGGTGCACTCTGTGCTGGGTTAGGAACTGGCTGGAGGGCGTGGCCCAGAGAGTGATGGGGAATGGTGTTGCATCCAGTTGGCGACCGGTCACTAGTGCTGCCCCCCAGGGATCAGTGTTGGGCCCAGTTCTACTTAATATCTTTATTGTGATCTGGATGAGGGGATCGAGTGTACCATTAGGAAATTTGCAGATGACACTAAGTTGGGGAGGAGTGTTGATCAGCTGGAAGGCAGGAGGGCTCTGCAGAGGGACCTGGACAGACTGGAGAGTTGGGCTGATTCCAATGGGATGAGGTTCAACAAGGCCAAGTGCCGGGTCCTGCATTTTGGTCACAACAACCCCCTGCAGCGCTACAGGCTGGGGACAGAGTGGCTGGAGAGCAGCCAGGCAGAGAGGGACCTGGGAGTTTGGATTGACAGGAAGCTGAACATGAGCCAGCAGTGTGCTCAGGTGGCCAAGAAGGCTGATGGCATCCTGGCCTGTATCAGGAACAGTGTGGCCAACAGGTCCAGGAAAGTGATTCTTCCCCTGTACTCAGCACTGGTGAGGCCACACCTCAAGTACTGTGTATAGTTCTGGGGCCCTCAGTTCAGGAAGGATATTGAGGTGCTGGAGCAGGTCCAGAGAAGAGCAACGAGGCTGGTGAAGGGACTCGAACACAAGTCCCATGAGGAGAGGCTGAGGGAGCTGGGGCTGTTCAGCCTGGAGAAGACGAGGCTCAGGGGAGACCT